ACATAAGCGGTGGATATATTAACATGTGCAAACCGTGGGTAAAAGAGCATTACGGTTAAATTAATATTAGCACAGAGGTTGTAGGCAGATTTTGTGGGTTAAGCAATTAAACAAATTCATGGAGAAATTGTCAACTTATAAAAAAAAGGTGGAAAAAATAATTCAAACATGAACTATGCACGTTATTGAGTGTTTTTTTGTTGCAAATGTAATTGTAATATTTGTAACTATGTATTAATAATATTTAATAATAATATGTATTTCCATTTATATTTAAAATATTTTTAAATATATAAAAGTTTAATTTATTTTTTTTTTTAAAAAAAGAAAAATCTGAATCGGGTCAACAGATACAAACGTTTGGTTTTTGGCCGGTTCAACCAACCGGTGTTTGAATATAAATAATTGGAGGGATTAGGAGAACATGCTTACAACTATAATATATATATATTTTTTTTTCGAAACGATAGGAACTTACAACTATAAAATATACTTTAACTAGTTTATAAATAAAGATGATGACTACATTCGATTTACTTAATGGAGTTCCACTTTGGAGCTATTTGAAGAGGAAACTGTTGTTGGTTAATGTTCATGTATCTAATTGCCTTGAAAACATAACAATAATAATGCATATATATATATATATATATATATATATAAATATATATTTCTACTATCAAATGTCATATTTTTATATGTGTTATTTTTTATAATATGACATTTTTATTGAAAATACGAATATTTGTAGAAATCAGTGTTTTAAAACGCGTATAGCGTAATGCGTCGCGTTTTAGTCTTTATATAGCGTAACATAAATAGCGTTGCGCGTTTGGTAAGCTATTTGAATATAAAAATTTATTTTTATAGAAATATTATACATATGCTTGCATATAATAGAACTTGATGGTTGATTCTAAAAATTATGATAACATTTAAATGACTCAAAATAAAAACTATGAAATATTTCTACAAATGTTTAATATAAATATCATAATATAAATATTTAAAACGAATATACTAAAAATAAAAAACAAACAATGAAATATAATAAGATAAGTCTTAATTAAATTTTAAGCATATAAATTATAATTAATTTATTTAATTTAATTATAATTTAATTCTAACCACTAGATCAGAACTTTTTATTCTTAAAAATAAAATGTCAAATACCAAAAAATATAAAGGTATAATAGGACTGGACCGATATATATTCCACTATCCAACTTAGGACTTTACATTTTCAAACTTTTAATTTGAAATCATTATTTAAAAAAAAAAAATCTAGTATTTAGTTGTTATTTAAAAATATAACTCTAATCCCTAAAGATACAAGTGCTTTTGAATATTTTACGGTTTAAATGTCGTTGCAGAAATATAACGCAAAGTAACGTAAAATAGCGTGAAATAGCGCAAATCATAAGAAAACGTGTTATTTCAGCATTTCGCGTAAGCTTTTCGGAAAAAACACTAAATATAAGCTGCGTAGTGTTTTTTTAAATAAAATGCAATATATAGCGAGCTAATTAAAACAGTGGTAAAAATTAAAAAGAGTACATCGACCTAATGGTTAAGACAACTAATAGCACAGTTATATAAGAATGGCAAACCTAAACCAAGATTCACCAAATTCACTAAATGAAAACAAATATTTTCTGTCATATCACTTTTGTTGGCAAAACTTTTGAATTGAATATTTATCCTATTTTGAAAAGTATGGCATCTCGTGTTAAGTGTAGCATTTTTATAATTTCAAAATTATAATGACTAATTCAAAATTGACCCACCTAAATATTATTGTAAAGTCATTTAGCGAGGCCAACGTGATATGGTCGAGCAAATATTAAAGAGTAAATAAATTTATTTACTAATTATTTTAATTGGCATATTAAATGACAATGTGTCAAGGACATGCAATTAACCACAATTATAAAAACTAGTAAGTACTCATGTATTGCACAAATGATTGTTAAAACACTTATACTTAAAATTGAAAAAAAAAATTGAATTCTAAATATCTTTTCAAAAAATATATTGTTATTTATATTTGAATGACACTCGTCACTTATACTACTTATTCAGCTTGATTTTATTTTTAGAAATAATTTTAATAGATAATTTAATTTTTATTATAAAGGTAATATAATTATTTATCTATTTTATATGTACAATATCAATGTCAAATCGAAGTTTATCAAGAGATGATTAATTAGATATAATATGTATATAAAAATATAATAGATTAAAAACTTATTTACTTTTGATATATATTGATAACTTAAGTGAGTATTTTTTTCCATAATTTAAAAGAAAAATTAGGAAAAGAGAAAAGATTTTGGAACATTTTTATGCCTTATAAATCACTTCTAGAAAATGATGTTAAAGCATAATTAATGTTTTTGGAAAAGATCATAAATATCCAATATATTTATAGTTCTTTTAGGTCTATTTATTTTTTATTTGAAAATAAACTAAAACAATGACGCATATGATCCAAGTCAAATAATAAAACATGAAAATATATCACATAAAATCACAAACTGAGTGATTCTGTTACTTAGAGCATCCACAATGCTTGGGGTTCAATCAAAAAAATTTGAATGCCACCTCGGTAGTAGACTCAGTCTAAAAAAATATGTTCTCCAATGCAAGTGTAAGTGGACTAGGTCTTGCTGATGTGGCAACAAGAAAAAGAAATCTGGTCTAAACTTAAGTCCATTTTAGACCCAAGTAGAGACATAGTCTCCTTGCATTGGAGTAGATTTTGTTAATTTTATATATTTTTGTCTATGTCATCCAAGACTTAGGTTCATTTACATTCCACATAGACAAAACTAGACCTAAAGCATTGCAGATGCTATTAGGATCAACATATTTAATAATTATATAAAAGGTATCACTAAAAAAAAAAATCTCACTTTCTGAAAGAGATTATGACACAATTCTGACGTCACAACCTTCCTCAGATTAAATCTTTTGGTCGTTGATTACATGCTACCCATTTGGGTAGTGCCCCATAGGGTTTTTTACCACAAATTTCACACACACCCACATGGATGTGTGTGTGAATATGTAGCTAAAGTCGGAAAATTCGATCCTACCCACGTGGGCAGTCCCCACATGGGGTTTTTCACCATTGATTTCACACACACCCATGTGGGTGTGTGTGTGTTTATGTGTATATCAATGGTGAAAAACCTCATCTGGGCACTGCCCACATGGGTAGGATCGAATTTTCCGCTAAAACCTCATGGAGGCACTACCCCATAGGTAGGATTGACTTTACCCTTTTGGTAAAAGAAATGTTTGTGTTGGCCTTTTTAATTTTGGGAAATTCGGATTTAATTTGGCATTATCTCATAAGTGATAGCTTATTCTGATAATTGGTATATTTGGCTCTTAGTATCTTTTGTTTTATGTGCTGCACTCCATTGAATAGTAGAACATTTTCAAAATAAATGTAGTAAATAAATTTAAATCATTAGATATACACATTTCTTTAGTTCTTAAGTCACAATTATATTAGAATTAGTATGTACTAATAGTTGGCTATAACTATCTAACTGTTGCAATCCTCTCTAGTTGACAATAATATTCAACTTTTTGCTAGAGAAAATACAAAATTTTGTCATTTTACCCCAAAATTAATAAAATTTACAAACTAATTACTAGTTATCATTAAATTGCACATATAACTATTAATAATTAGGCAAAGGCAGAAATTGAGAAACTATATGTCATCCACATACTATCAAACAACACAAACTATATATGTTATCAACAAATTATCAACACAAACCTGTTGGCAACTCATTGTTGCACCCAAAATTTGTAGCAACATCAGAAGTTGTTTAGTTAGTTACCTGAACACAGCATGACATGACAGCCAAAAATTTATCCATACATCAAACCTTGAGAATCAGACACAACAACACATATCGAATGTACATGACATTTCAAGATCGAAGCTAATGCGCTTCATCTTTCTTCATATTTTTTTTTTGTTTCCCCTGTCATCTCTGAATCAAAATTTACGACTTTTGAGATCTTGACAATCTTACTATACAGTCACTAACCTGTTTAAACCATATCACGATCAGAAACCCGAGCTGTTAAAGATGGTAGGGCTGAGAACTTGCATTTTCAACATTATTCAAGCTGGCCCGAGACTAGGAGTACACCAAACGTCAGCAGCTTTTGTGTGTCGTTCCATACAATCATTTACCCAAAGCTGTTGAACATTTTTTTTATCTCGACATAGATTGTAGGGTAGCAATCAGCTAACAAAACCTGTCTAATACAACACTAAAAAATTCTTTAGTAAAGAATACTACCCTTGATGTTTAGCATCATTCAATACAAAGAGTTATCCTCAAAAGTATAAAATAGTTCTATGACATGTGATAAGGAGGTAATGTGGTTACCGGGTTTTTTGTAAATTTTAAACGACGACTGTAATTACATTTAAAAAAATAAAGCTTATGGATAGTTATGCACTACTTATGCAATTATAGGACATTATGAATAGTGCTAGTTACCAGAATACCCAAAATTTTACTTCTAAAAGTTTAACCTCAGCCATTAGAACATTTGAGGTCATACTTCGATTTCATGTCTATTTTCGAAACAGCTTCTGATAAATTTATATCCAACTCTTTTTTTTTTTTTTTTTCTTTTTACTCTTTGATTTTGGAATTAGATAATTTAACTTTCTTTAATTTTCCTTTCAAAAATAGCTTTATTTTTCTTTTGCAGCTAAATGCCTAGTTTTTCAATCCTTTTTTTCCGAAAAATGACGTCGGCTACTTTTCAAAACAAAGCAAAAGCAACTTTTGAGAAAATAGTGAAAATTAGAGCATCGGATTGCAAATGTTTAAAGTTTGAGCAAGAAATAGTAACTCAAATTCACCAATACACAAGTTTGAATCAGCACAAGAATAAGACAAGCTACTCGTAAGTTGTACCTTCAGCTTGAAAAATGGTATATGCTTGTATCATACTTAAAGTTCGGGAATCTCCATAGGGGACGTCCAGTGCCGTAATAGGGACTCCACGGTCACCCGACGTGTGGCACTCAACATAGAAATGAAAAATCGACACCCATCAACTTTATATTCCTCGAGCGGATTCCTATGCCCAAAGCTTCTTACATTCACCTACAAACATCACACAGTGGCAAAAAATCAAAATTTTATGTACTTCGATGGTCAATAGAGAAGACAATAACAAACATAAAGTGTGAAAGTAAATACCGCCGAACTAAGTCTGTTCATATTCACAAGGTGGTCCCTCCAAAAGCAATCGATTGTTTGCAGGATAACCGCTCTCTATATGCAGAAAATCACTTTGTGTAGTAAGTCAATATCAATGCATAATCATAAATCTAAATCACCCTTAATCAGATTCCCACGATTTTATGACCATTCACTCAATACTTCGTCTATCAAAGTCAAACCCAAACACAGAAGAGCTTTTAAGTTGAATAATTTGTAAAGCAAACAAATAATCCACACTAGGTCAGAAAAAGGTTCTTATGAGCATCATTCACTCTTATAAAACTTTGTGCTATAAAATGAAGTTACCTCAATTTCCTTAACGTAAACACTGTCATAGCCCGATTCTTGAACGATATCAAGATACGAAGCTATCAAAAAATCTCCAAGGTACTTGCAAAGAAGATTAACAGTCTGTCTGAAGCTCCCTTCTCTAATAAAAGTCACAAAAGCAACAATCAGTATCAGAAACAAAAAAAATCTCCAAGAAATTGAAGTATATGGGTTATTAAAAATACGCACTTTATTGAATCATCAGAACATATTGTTAACCAGCGCTTGAATGATAAGGTCTTCATCCGGATGCCTCGAAAGGAATCCGGAGGTTTAGGCAAATTTGGGAGGTGAAAATTGTCAATGTCTACAGACTCTAAGCTATGAACTCTGGTGAGTGACTGCAAAAGTTGTTCCTCAGTAACCCCTGCAAAAGAGTCTGCACAACTCCAATAGTGCAGCATGTGTCAAAGATTTAAACCGGGAAACAAGAAGGAAAAAAAAGAGAGCAAAAGAGTACATATCAAGTGGACAAAAAAACAGAGTGACAAATTTAAATTAAAATTACGCACCTTTTAACGCGTTGCCAGAAATTCCAATAAATTCTCTCAATAACTTTACCAAATTCCAGCTGCTTGGATGCTATTAAACACACAATATTTGTTGATTAAGAATTAAATTTTTTTTATATAATACAATGTCTCAGAAAATCAAATCTCATCTAAGTCACCACCTTTGCTGGATCTGCATTCTTGAGAACTATTTCAGTTACCACTGCTTGCATGTACCTAAAGGACAATCAATTAGTGCACTCAGAAACACGGGATTGTTTACACGTGTAAACAAACAATATACTCATGTTCCTCAACTCTCAACATAGTTGCAGTAGCCAAGACAAAAACATTACATCAGGTTGACCATAATTTTGTTCTTTTTTTTTTTTTTTAACTTCAGATATTTAATTAAGTTCTAGAGATAACTTGTCCCATCAAACATGTTATGCAGTACAGAGAGGAAGAAGTTAGAATCTACAAGAAGGAAACCAAATATCAAAAAGTGAAGAAAAGCTCACTGATAAATGTGCTGTGAGCAACTCTCGGGATCGCCTGTTAAAATTAATTGTCGAAGATCATAGACATGCTTCCTTTGCACCTGTAATCACAATCTCAGTTTATAAGACGATGAAAAAGTAAACTGAAAGCTTCGTCATTAGAATGTCAGTAGAGACACCCTCGATGTCGAGTAATTACATTCCTTAAATCACCCAATAAGAATCAGGTAAAGTTACAAAACCCACACCTGAGGTATATGGTAGCTATAGAAACCCCCCAAAAGGTTTTACATATTCAAAAAATCATTTGATATTCATTCCGTATTATTTGTTCTCTCTGCAAATGCAAAATAGCCTTTCAAGAACTCCCTCACATTGACGAAACGTAACAATTACCCCTTTAAATCCAAAGCACATTCAATCCTCAGGAGTGGTTTTTGTAATTAACTTGAAGAATCGATTTAAAACATGGTCACCTACCAAAAGAATAACTGCATAGATTGATTTTAATTAAAACAAAGCAAGCACATTACACTATCCTGAAAATATGGCATTTTTAAATACAACTGCAAGTCGTTTGAGATTTCTCACCATGCTCGCCAGAAATAGTTATAGAAGTTAAATCGAAAAGAAGAAGATGAAGAAGGTAAGATGATACCTCTAATACTTCATCAAACTCAACGAGACTCTTTCTTATACCAAAGAAGTATTTTTCAGCATTAATTTGCAGGCCCAATAGCTGAAAGTTGGTATCGTGGATTAGCTAAACTGAATCCTTAGAAAAGTATGCCAAGGGGAAAAATAAATGGAAAGGAGGAGCACAAGCATAATACATGCGCCAATAAATAAATAAATAAACCTTACCTGTTTCACAACCGACTGACCTTCTATCGGGATGTCCTCATCATTTGTCATTCTGGATATAAGGTTTACAGCCCACTCCGTGTCAAAATTGAACTTCTGAAACATATCATCCTGCAAGCTGTTCAGGACATTCAAATTAGTAATGAGGTGAATGATAGTGCAAACCAAAAATTAATTACAGCTCGATTATGCAAGTGGCTGAAGCTAAGTCATCACTGCATTATTGATTTACATTAATTTTTATGTGTACATTTCCATAAGATAAAAAGTCGAAAATAAAATGAGAAGTCATAAAACGAGTTTTGGCATTTGAGTTACCGGATCTTCAGTTTCTCGAAAACTTTGGTCGGACCGTTCTTACTAATGAAGTTAAAAGCTTCAAATATGACATATCATGTGGTCCTTAAAACTTAAAAGCATTAAAATCAAATGAAATAAAATGACTGTACCTCACCATAAACCGTGTCGAACCAGGATCACCTTGTCTTCCTGCTCTGCCTCGTAGCTATTCAAGAAAAGGACAATAATAATAATATTGAAAACAAATAAGTAACAGATACAAACTATTTAGAACATCATAGAAACTAAATGAGAGAGAATTCGAGAAATCGAAAATAACACATTACAACTCTGTTCCGCCAAATCTTCTATAAGTATGACAAATCAAACCTGACCTCACAGCACAAAATCAGCTGGCTAGAACTCACGATAGGAGCATGAAAAATACCTTTGAACTTTAGTCTAATTTAATAATTGACAAAAAAAAAAAGAAATGAAAAAAGAATAGAGAAAGCAATAAAGAAAATAAAGTAACAAGAAAAAAGAATAGAGAAAGAAAGAAAGAAATCAAAATTACAAATACATCTTTCATCAAAACCTTGTGAGGGGGTTATGTTTAGGTTAATACAAACATCAAACGATCAAAGGATTGTACTGCTCATACGCTTTAAGGGAAATCATAATATTTGAAAAATAAACTCAGTTAAACTTCATGGAAAGTTCTCTGCAACTATCAGTGAAAATCTTAGCAACAAACAGGTATGTTCTCGAACCAGGCAATTATCCATACCTTACTTACTCCTGAATGAAGAGTCATTTATTAAGGACTACACATAAGTCTCTAATAATAAAAGTAACAGTTTAATGTACAATCAAAATGAAATGCTCGCCTGGTTATCAATCCTCCTAGATTCGTGTAGAGATGTGCCAATCACATGAAGACCTCCGAGCCTCTTAACCTCTAATCCTTCGTTCAAACAGTGAGATTCACAATCCTTTAGAACCGATAGATAAGCAAGAGCTATACTGGGGCCTAGAGGGTACATCTCTGTCTGCTCATTAATGAGCTTCCATAATTCTGAGGTTTCCATTGATTGGCTGAGCTCAATAGACTCCAATATCAATTTTCTTGCCTCACCATAAGTCCACTTTTTTCCCTCACTTTTACATACATATTTTGCTGTTATTATTAACAAAGTGGTTTTTGTTAGAAAGGAAAAGAAAATATCACTCAAACAAGGAGAGAAAACCAACTCGTGAAGACAAATATTGTGTAGTCGAGTAAGGATACTAACACATAAGTGCAGTCTTAGCAAGCAAGCCTGCTGATGATGGTCCAACATTAACCTTGGATAAAACCTGCAAGACAACAAAATAAAAGTA